GTCCCTCAGCATCCCAGAATGCTTTGCAGCCCTGGGCTGGGCCATGCTGTTGCTCCAGTGGAGCAGGGTTAGCCCTGCCCCTCTGCTGCCTAGTTGTAGCACTATCGCTACTCTGGCGGGCAGAGAAGTGGTTGGGGTAGGAAACCCTGCTCGGGACCGCACCCGGGTCTGCCTGGTGAGGATGGAACAGCTGCTCACCGTCTTTTCCTCCACTTGCTGCTCGAGCACAGAAGGCAGGGGCATGGCCAGAAACAGGCCCTGGGCCAGCATGCTAAGGAAGAAACGGAGGGAGGGGGGGTTTAAGAACCCCTCCCTTCCCTCTCCCACCAGCACGGGATCCCAGCCAGAGTCTGCCTGGCAGGGGTGCAGCAGTCCCCGCCAGGCTTTTGCCCTGCTCACCACTCTAGCAGAGGTGGTGAGAGCATGGCTAGATGCCGCCCCCCAGGCCGGCACACTGAGGCCAAGGGCAGGGACCAGCATCTGGCTGCACCCCCAGCCCCTCAGCTAGAACAAGAGAAAAGCCTGGCAGGGGCTGCTACACCCATGCCAGGCAGACCCCCGCTGGTGTCCTGTACTGTTGGAAGAAGAGGTTTAAACCCCCCTTCATCCCTTCTGCCTCAGAGTGCCAGTCATTGGAGTGGCAAGTGGAGCAATGACAGGCAGGGACTGCTTCCCCCTCTCCCTCCAGGCATACCCTGGCTGGGGACGTCCAAGCCAGGGTGAGGGTTTAAACCCCACCCCAATCATACTCAGTGTTCCTAGATCATTCCCAACCAGTGGCTGCCCAACCTCTTCTTGAACACCTCCAGTGATCAAGAGTGTACAACTTCCCTAGCCAGTCTATTCCACTGCCTCATTGTTCTAACAGTGAAGGGTTTTTTTTCCCAGATATCCAATCTAAACCTACTTTGTTACCATTTCAAGCCATTGGTCTGCATCCACCTTTCTGCAGCAAGAGAGAAAAGGTGTTTTTCCTCTTCTGCACAGCAGCCCTTCAAGCACTTGAAGACTGCTATCATGTCCCCTCTTAAGCACCTTTTCTGCAAGTTGAGCATGCCTAGCTCCTTCAGCCTCTCCCCATGTGACTTGCTTTTTTCAAGACCTTTATCATTCTAGTTACCCACCTCTGGACACTTTCTAAATTCTCCATGTACTTCTTAAAGTGTGGTTTATCTGTGGATATACAGAAAACACCCTTAACAAACAGGCCAACACATCGTATAAACCAGGGGCGGGCAATTATTTTGGGCGAAGGGCAACTTACACCCAGTTTTGGCAAACTGCCAAGGGCCAGATGGGTAGCCCTGCCCCTTGACAGGTGCCCTGCCCCCTGGTCACCATCTTGGGACCAATATCCCAATGTCTTGGGACCAATGTCTCAGGGCCAGCACCAGTGGGGCCCAGAGCAGGGCACAGGCTGGCAGGGGTCTGTGGAGCTGGGCTGGGCTGTACCATCAGGGAGAGGTGGGGAGCTGGCCCGGCTCCATAGAGCTCCTGCTGGCTGGGACCCTGTACCCCTGCTGTCCTGCTCTGGGCCTCGCCAGTGCTGGCCCCAGGACACTGGTGTGGGCCCCATGCACCCCCTCACTCTCAGTGCCCCCCCAGCCCGATGGTACAGGCGGGGGGCAGCGTGCAGCCCTGACCCCGCACTCACTGGCAGGGAAGGAGCTGGTGCTGAGTGCAGGGAAAAGTGACCCCTCCCCCACCCCGTGACCGGCAGTCCCTGCTGCACCCACTTGCAGCCTGCGGCCTGTCCTGAGCAGGCACAGGCAGCCCCAGGTGGGCTGCGAGCAGCTGCAGCGCAGGGCGCCAGGCACAGGCCGGGCGAGGGGTTGCTTTTCCACCCCCTGCACTCAGCACCAGCTTGTAACCTGCCCCCACCACTAGCCTGGGCTGCACATGGTGGCAGCAGCTGCGTTCCCCCACCCGCTTGTCGCATCCAGCAGCATTTGCCACTGCCGCCTCTGTGTTGCCCAGCGCGCGAACTCCAGGCGGGCAGCAGCAGCAAACTGCCCACCACAGCAAGTGGGGGGGCGGGTTGCAGCTGCTGCCACCGCAGCACAGCCCCGATAGGCGAGCTCAGAGCCCAACCTGCCAGCAGGGTGGGTTACAAGCTGGTGCTGAGTGCGGGGGGGGAAAGTGACCTCTCACCCACCGCATGGCTGGCACCCCAAGCTGCAACCACTCACAGCCCACATGGGGCTGCCTGTGCCTGCTCAAGACAGCCCCACGCAGGCTGCAAGCAGCTGCAGCAGGGAGTACTGGCCACGGGGCAGGGGAGGGGCTGCTTTTCTCCACGCTCCTTCCCTACTGGGGTCCTCCCCTGCCCTTCTTGCCCCCCTTACCTGGGGTTCCAGCACAGTGCAGCCGGATGGTCCCAGGCCAGAAGCCCCTGCTGGGGCTTCCAGCTGGGGGTGGGGCCAGGCAGACCCTGCTGTTGAGAGAGCCTGCCGAGCTTCCCCTACGTCCTACTGCCTCTGTTTCCTGTCATTTTTAACAGGAACCAAGGACAGCTCAATATTAATTTTCTAAATTTTTTAGGGGCCCCGTGGGCTGGATAGAATGGCCTCGTGGGCCGGATCCAGTCTGTGGGTGGTATTTTGCCCACTCCTAGTATAAATTAACAAAGTGGCTCCAAATCCTTTAAAAGAGCTATTATCCACAATTCTCTTTCAAAAACAGATAAATAAGCTATCCACTGTGGACTAGTGGATGTACAGAACATATGAATAATTTAATTGCAGTGCAGAGGCACATCAGAAGTGTGGGATGACATGTGACCCCTGGTACTATGATTTTCACTTAAAGGTTAACACCCAAATGGCTACACAGCCACACACATGCATCACTATCATTTCAGTGCAACACATCTTCTCTAAGCATCTATTTCACTATTTGTTGAAGAGTTATTTCTATTTGTACTACACTAATTAACAGTACCAGTTTAATGGTTAACCTCTTGATTTGCAAAGTGTATTAGCATGGGAATACTATACCTTAGCTTGCCATTTTACTACGTACAATCCATAATTTAATATAGGCAGAAAAAACTGTATACATGCTGATTTTTCAATCCAGTGACCTACAGGACCAAGTGAGTGACCAGCGCTCACTAGAGTTGTCAGATGTTTTCAAGACTCATCACCCACTGATTCTGCAGCCTGTAACAAATGATATGCTGTATCACAATCACTACCCTGTTTATAAAAATAGAATTATATGTATGAACAAAATCTACACACAATAATGTGTGGACACAGGAGAAATTTCAATAAACCACTTAATATACAGCCCTGCATAAAACAGACCAAAACATAAGTTTAAGTTAGTGTATGAACAATTAAATTAAATACAGCTGTCAGTAAATTCACCTATTAAGGCACATGAGTAATAGGTTCAACAATATTCCACTTTTATCTGTACGGTTACAACTAAATACAGCATGCACTCAGTGTTTACTTTTTCAAAGTACACTATGTTTTAAAACTTTTTCCCATAATATTATAGTTCTTTTTTCCTCCCTCATTAGTGGCCTTTGGGTTTTCTGTCCTACAAAAATCAAACAATTAACATTCATGCCATTTCCCAATAGCTTCAACTTACAAGTCAAAATAGGCAACCATGAAGACAAGAAAGGCTTCTCTGGGATTTTAGGGGGGTGGGGTTGGGTTGTTTTTGTTTGGTTGGTTTTTTTTTTTAAATAAGAGACTTTTTCATTTTATTTCATTCAAACAGATAATGGTAGAGAGCAAACGCATGGTTCTTGTTAGCAGTGGGAATTGAAAACTACTGTATAAGCTAAAACAGAAGGAATTTCTTCAATTATTTATTTATTAAAGTGACCTTAGGAAAACTGGGTAACAGGAGAAAGCATAAAAGAAGGATGCTTGATTTACAATAAAAGAGAAAACTGTGACCAACTGAGGGAAAACAGTAAATTAACTATTTAGGTCACAACAAAGTGCTTTGAAACAGGCTAGGAGTCAATATGGTAAAAAACCAGAAGCCCTTTTTGCACAGTAAAAAGCTATATAAAACATTTTTTTTGTACAATGGCTCCATTTCCCCTCCACCACCACCCAGCAACAGCTGCAACACCCATCCACCACAAGGTGAGGGACACTAAGCCTTCCCCATAGAACCTAGCTAGTCTTTCCCACCCCAAATAAGCCTGGGACCCCTGCACGGGGTGCCTAGCATGGAAGTGAAGATGACACAAAAGCTAATTGCTTCCCTGGCTCTGTAGGAAACAGATGTTTGGGCAGTAGAGTCCTGCCTACGTCCCAGAGCAGCCCAATTGCCCTGGAAGAAGTTGGGAGAGGGGGAAGGGGAGAAGCAGTGAAGTTTGGGATGCCGAGAGGACTGACCATATACTAGGCACAGAATGTTCTGTCTGCACATAACATTAAAGCAGTTCAAAATGCTACTTGACTTTCCCAGTGTGCTTTGGAAATGTTCACGGAAGTTTAAACCAGTCTAAAGTGGCATGCACAACTAAACTCCTGAGGTTTAAAATGTATTTAGAATGCTCTAAGCATTACGTCTGTCCACAACCATTAGAAGTTCACAACTACCACCGTTTGGAAAGGGCTCCTCATTCTTTTCTCGTAGCAGCAGCCCTTGTAAGCTCCACAATTTGGAACTACCTATTCAAACACTACCATACGCAAGAAGCCTGAAAAACTGAATCACTCTCTTAGAAAAAAGATCCTTTGGGAAATCTTAGGGTGTGGACACGGATAACAATTTAAATGTTTCCAAGTGAAATGTACTAGGAAATACTTTTAACAGGAAACACTTCAGCCAGGGGACACATGCACACCCTGTTCTGCACCTAGCTAGAATACTGCAAAATGCTACAGCCCCTTTTAGCACCAGTTAGGGAGCGCTAGAGCAGGCTGAAACCACCTGCGGTTCTGTTTTCAGCACATCCCTCCCCTCACAGGGATGATTGGGGGGGGGGGGGGGGGGGGGGGGAGAGGGGAAACAGGAGTTCCCAAATCCCCTGAACCTCTCCTTTCGCCCTTGGAAGGGGGAAAAGGCAAAGGGGACTGTGGCTGATCGGGCTGCCTCTAATGTTGGTTTGGGACCTCAGGAGGTCTGGTGGAAAGGCAAGCCTGAGTAAAGCTCCATCCCGAGCATCATATCCCCATGAACACATGCCCAACAGTGAAACACTCGGAAATAGTACTTCACTTCAAGACTATTTTGGAGTGTTTCAGCCATTTCTGGAATGTTTCAAAAGGCATCTGTGCCTGTACAGCTTGCCCACTGAAACGTTTTAATAGTTATGTGTGTCCCCTCTTGGAGAGGGGCTCCATTCTGCAATCCTCCTCCTGTGCCACTGGTTGAAAAGAAAGTATTCAGCATATGAGCACTGATAAAATATTTAAAAAATACATACTACAGGGAAAGTCATTTATCTTAGACTTTTATGTAAAAACAAAAAACAAACAAGAACCCTCTATTTCTGGTGTACTTTGTCAAACCATTAAAAATAGGAAATGCAAAGTTAAATATTAAGCTTCAAACAGAATTAGAAGATTACATGACTCATATTTTTATCTTTACAAAAAGAGACAAGTGCATCCTTAATTCCAACCAAAATAGTAATGCATTCCTAATAATAAGCAACTTTGGGATACACACTCTTAGCTACTGTGATTACACACAATGTTTCGACTGCCATTTTCCCCTAAACATATCAGAAGGGAGACTGGCAAGGACCACTGTGAACAGGGACGGGGAGCAGGGGGGAAGACATGAACAACTGAAAGAAACCAAGTACAGCTATAAAAAGTTAAAAATATAACTATTTCTTCATAGTACAGATACTTGGCAGAGTGCAATAAAAGCTTTTGAGAAGAAGCCTTGAGATTACTTTTTAAATTTAATATGTACAAGTTGGATAAAAGTTTACTATTAAATATCAGTGTTCTCAAATCATATTTTGACTGAATTTACACATGGGAGTAAGGTTCTATAAAGATGAAACATGGCTCATTGTGTCATATTTGTGACTTCTAGTTGAAGTTTATATGGTTTTCTCATAGTTTAGTCCGGAGGAATCCTAATTCACATTAAAATATTTTGCTGCTGAATTTCCATTTTCTTAACAGAAACAAATCTGTGCTTATATGCAATTTAAGAAATCTGTTAGATTTGGCATATATTTTATTGTTGCTTTTCTCTGTGGAGATACATATTTTAGTACTCAGTATAATGTTGACTAACCTCTCAATACTAATATCTCAAAATTAATGTCAAAAGCATATAAATGTGTATTACAATAGCATTAAAACATTCTAAAGAATACTTTTACATTCTAAGGAAAAGTTCTGCAACAGCATAAGATACAGAAGTGACTATTTTATAATGACATTTTATTATACTGGTGAAGAACAATGATTATTTTTACATTTTATTGATTTAAATATAAAGTATTTTAAAAAGAAATATTTAACAACTAGGGAAACAAGTTATTTTCTTTTTTATTGCATTCTTCAAACTATATGAGAGCTTTATTTTTATGTTTAGCATCATATGCAATATATTCTTCCAAATGACCCTTTTTTCATCAAACTTCTCCATTGGGGGGGGGGGGGGGGTGTTGATGATAGCTTCTGTCCTAACAGGTCTATTTGGAGTCAGATGCTGTTTGTAGGCATGTTGTCTAGATATCAAAAGCAGTTCTACAAACAATGACAATAAAAATTATGTTACAGGATCATTTTAGTCAATAACGTACTGTGTTATATGTATATATAAGGCCTCACTAGATACATAGAATATATTCTCACATGTAATATAGCAATACTAATACAGCATGGACTATTAATGGAAACAATATTGTTCACTGAATACTAACACTTCCTATAGATGACTCAACCTTCATACCTTTTTATAATGTAGGAATTTTTAGTCATGAATAGAAAAATATAGCAACAAAAATATATATTTTACATTATTTTAAATAATAAAGGAATATGCTTGTCCATAATTTATAAATTATATTAACGAAAAATAATAGGTACTCATATGGGGCATTTCTCAATTTTTTAAATATTCAGAAATTCATAGTCCCCAAATGTAGGAAATGTATACAAAATTATACATGAAAAAGAAGGGATATAATTCTGTATCTTATTGGGTAAATATTTTTAAACAGTATTTAAGTTACCTTTTAAAAAGGAAAAACAAATTTGCCACGATACAAATCCAAAACAGCACAGCTCTACCATCACAAACAAAATATACTTTCAATTGTTATTATAAGCCTTTTTGTAAGATAAATCAGGTGTTATAATCTTAGCAGAAAGCAGCAACACCGCCTTTCTGACACATCATTATAACTTGCATTGTACTATGATAGGGATATTTGGTTTATAAGTCAACCTATCCACTTGCTGTAAAAAGGAATTTTCTAATTATCTTCATGTCTCCTTCTTAGATGCAGAGGCCTGTAAAGCAGTGTTTTTCTCACCTTTATGGAGGGGCACCTCAAATTCAAAATTCTTCTAAATGTAGTGCGCCCCTCCCCCCCATGGCATCACCATCATAGCCAAATGAAACTGTCCCACAACACTGTTTCCATAAGATGGAGGAGCCAGAGCAGGCACTCCTGCCTGCATTAGGGTTATCGATCTGACTTTGCCGCCTCCTGGAAACGGAGATGTATGGGGCAATTTCACCCAGCCACAGCAGTGGGGACAGTGTCCATGCTACAGCACCCTTGGAAGGGTCTTGCAGTGCTCCATTCAAAAGCTGCTATGCTAAAAAAAACAAAAACAAAACAAAAACCCCCCACAAACCCGCTTCTCTGGACTGCAGACCAAACAAATTGCTGGTTAGCCAAAGTGATCATATACCAATTTTAATGTCCAGCTAAGATACAAAGATTAATTTGTATCTTGTATATCAATGCAGTTATTAGATCTCGTTATACAAAACGTTAGAGTTATGGTACAACTCTTATACCCGAGTGATTCTGTAGTAATACAAACAATAGTGAAAACTCTTCAGCTTTTACTCTGTTTCATTCAGGGTCACCATCAGGGCATTTAGCTACAGGTCATATACATATAAATTAGATTATGACAGCTAATGAGTGTTTCCACATGGCAGCTTCCCATCCCCTTTTAATGTTGTTAAAAGTTGCATTTGTCCATGTTCACAGGCATCCAAATGGCTTTGAAGGTAGCACTGTCTTAATGGCTTGCTAAATGCACACTCCACCATCGAACTGTTACTGTTTACCTTGTTTTTTGAAGCCACGCTACAGTTTCATTAGCCATGAAAAGAGGGAGGCATCAGGGCCCCCTAAAACAACAGGGGGCAACATCATCATATTGATCAGTCTTTGCTTGTCCCAACAGGTAAATATCCAAACTCAACACCTGGTGATACGTACCTTGTCCATACATCACTGATGATCTTAGTTGATGACAGAGGTAGAGTACAGAATGGTACCTTCTTCTGGCTGACATTTACCTGCTTGTTCCAATAAACAAACTATGGACCTACAAGAGTTGCCAGTGGTCGCAACAGTTTTGGAACCCTATTCTCAAACACGAGCCAATATTTTAGACATATTACTTCTACGCACCACGGCCACAGTGCTTAAGGCTTAAACAATAGTGTGAATCAACTTACAAATCACCACCAACATGCACCAATGATTTACACACTAACATGCTAACTGGTTGAACATGAAGCTGAGAAAGTCTGGATGAATAAGTTCCTGAGGGAAACCGCAACCTGCTTCTAGACCAACATGGTCTCCTAACGTGTGTTTTCTAGTGCTGGAGGTTTGAGGCAAGCTTCTCTCACGGTTCCATGAAGGGTTGCTTCCTCATATGCCAGCTCTGAAGCCACTACTAGTCATCCTAGATTAGCATGATAAGGTGATCCTTGGACACACTGGGATCTCTTACAACAGAAGAGCTCGTTTATATAATGGCCAATCCACAGTTATCGCAGAAACTGCAGTTGAAAAGTTATGAAGAGTAGAGAAACTGGAGGAAGTCCAGTGACAAGTGATAAAGGTAAGCGGGTTGGAAAAGCAAGCTGGATGAGGAAAGGCTGAAGGAACAAGGAGAAAAAGGAAACTGATGGGGTGTGGGGAGAGGAGGAAGAAGACATGATAGCTTTCAAATATGTGAAAGGCTGCCATACACAAGAGAGAAGCACTGTTCTTCCTTGCCACAGTGGACCGGACATGTGGCAATGGGTTTAAACTGCAGCAAAGCAGATTTAGATCAGATCTCAAGAAAAACATTCTAACTGTGAGTACAGGAAGACAATGGAACTCACTGCCTAAAGAAATTGTGTAATCTCTGTAAGTAGAGATTTTCAAAAAGAAGCTGGGCAGAACTCGATCTGGGATGATTCAGAAACAACAAATCCTATATCTGTGGAGGAGCTGGAGTACATGACCTTGGGATACCTTTCAATCCTGTGATTCCACGATCCAGGGTCTCCTAGAACGGTTATCCTGATGCATAAATGCTTCAGTGACAAGTTAGGAGCAGCTTAGCCAGTGAATCCCTAACTTGGTCCTTGCCTGGAATAAGTGTAAGTGTGGAATCTGAAAAGCTAGGAGTGCCTCAACTAATGGTATCAGAAGACTATGACACTTCCAAAGATATCTGAAAAGAACAGATAATTTTCCCCAAAACTGCAAACCAATTCCTAAAGAAACTATTAGAAATCCTAGTACTACACCCATGAATTGCAGCATTGGTTTGGACTCAGGTATAGGGCATATGCAGCTCTCCAGAGCAGCCATACCTCAACTTGCATGAGTGTGCAGTCTTATTACTGGTAAGATAAGATCAACTCCCAGGTTAAGGTACCTCACTCCAGCTCCTCTTACTCCATCTCGTAGGAAGCTCTGTTCCTGATTAGTCAGCAGTTTCAACTGTTTGAGTGTTGGCTGGGACCCTAAAGGGTTCATAAAAACTCATAATGGAGCAAAAGCCCTTTTTTAGACAAGTGTCATGAGTGTCGTCTGTAGCTCTCTGGATTCTTCAGAATAATAAAAAAAATGTTTATAGGATTCAGAGAAGAGACACAACCATACTAACAAGTAGTACTTGAAAAAAAGGTCATTATAAAACCAAGGCAACATTTTCAGCATCATCAAGCAACCTGTTTTTGGTTTCTAAAAAATTATAATTATATAATTTACACAAATTATTTTTAATACAAAAAAAATAGAATTATACAGAAATACCAATTTCATGCAAGTATTTACATCTGCTTACAAAAAATAAAATCACATCCAAAGCACATGATTATTTTCTTGAAATCATAACTTTTAATATCCATTAGCTTAACAAAGAATAAGTTATTGTATAAAACAGGGGGAAAACTTTTACTTTAATAAATACAAATGTATCTTACTCTCCCTTGAAAAGAACTGTCATAATAAAAAGGCAAATTATTTCCTACAAACCCTAATCTCCTAAATGAGGAACAAATTTAAAATAAACTTTAATTTTTTTTGTTTTGCAAGTTTTTCCCTCATCTATAAATGTTAGATTTCTTATACAATATGACTGCATGAAATCAATGCATCTCTCTGCAATTTTTCACTCCTTTCCCCATCCAAAAACCTACAAGTTTCATTAAAAAATACATGCTGATGACCCTTTCACATACATACTAATTAGTACTTCATTTTTTTGTACTCCCCATGACACACCTGTGAAAAAATCCAAGAAGTCTGAGACAAAGCACCTAAATTTATGTTCTAAACCATTCTTAAAATAGATATTTCAAAAAAATCACATACAACTCTTTGAAACTGCAGTCACTACATTTCTGGTTGTATTACTCTGAAAAGTTTTTGAACATATCAGCAATTCACTACCCCCTGATATTAATTTATAATTATAACTATGGTCTAGCAATCATTCTATTGAAACGTTATATACTTACTATATATTATCTTGTGTACTTGTCATACCTATCTCCAACACGCTCAAGGAAGTAAACATTACGCTACATATATGATTGTGCTTGTGTAAGTAGACTTAATTGTAATCTGCCAAAGGGACAAGGGTTTTGTTGTTTGTTTGCTTACACACAGGCACACACAAACACACACACACTCACTTACTTAAAAAGCAATGGAGGGCAAAAAATGAGATTCACATGTTAAATAAGTTGGATGCAATGGTAATCAGAATAATTATTAACAAACACATACATGCGATAGAATCATTAACTTTGGCAAGCAACTAAAAACAAAGATGGGGTGAAGTTTAAGGCTGACATTTCGATAATGCTTAAGGATGACACATTCTACTGAATGTGCCATTGACTTCTAAATAAAAATGTGCTTCTAAATCATGAGCAGTTTTTAAAATCTCACCGCGAATTATTTACAATTACAAAACGTTACAAAATAGGTGACCAAAAAGAAAATACTTTAAGCATCCTGTATTTTCCCCACCAGAGGTTCCAGTTTCTACCACCAGTTCTTAAAAGAACTGATGCCCTCTGCTGTAGTAAAATTAAAGTAAGTCTAATTACACAAAACATTTCTTTGCTCAACTACCTCCACCTTGTGGTGGCAAAAGAGGTAATAATTAGTGATTTTTCTCCCTCAACAATTCAAAGTCTATTAAGGTTAAGAGAGAGACGACTAGATCAGAGGGCAGAAGCACTTTGGTAAATACTTTTTAAA